TGTGCAGCGCTCCCAGGTAGGTGCATCGGGAGTACTGCTTTTCCAAAGGCCGGTGGCCTGCTTCCCAATGTATCGGCCCTGTTTTGTGTGTATGTGCCCAGGCGCAACTGTGAAGGCCTGGGCCAACTGTATGACGCAGCTTAGTGAGGCTCACGCATCTACCCAACCAACTGGCGTGCTGCGAGAGCCTGAATACCCACACATGGAAATGTTGAATTTTGGCCTTCGACGAATATTCAGGCCCGCCTTCACTTAGGGCGGGCACTCGGCTTGCTGGGGCCTTAGCCCAGAACATATGATGTCTAATAGGGCCCCTTGAGGACTCGTTCCTCACATTCCGCTGAGATGCTTCATGCTGGTGCCTTCCCCTTCAGTTTCTTCTCATAATCTGCCACGATCTGAGGAGTTGTCTTAACAAGTTCCTCCCTTGAAATCCATCCATCTTCCTTAGGATCAGTATGATGCCTGAAATGTACTCCGTATTCCCTTGGAGGTTTAAGAGGTCTTCCCCTGCCGGGTGGCTTGGGAACAGGCGTTTCTTTGTGATCCAGGATGTCGTCGACGTCCACGTGGCCATCCATGGTCGGGGGCAGCATAGATCTCCGTGATGGGAACTGTGTTGTCTCAGCGAAAGGTGCAAGCTTGGAGGCCTGAAAAATAGGGTAAGTGCGTAGGTGACCAGGGATACGAATGACGTACGAGGGACCATCCAAACCATTCCCCACAATATCTAAGACTTCCCAGGGACCGAAATACTGAGGCATTAGTTTCCTAGAGATGCCAAACTCCTGTCCCAACTCACTAGCCTTGACCTAAACACGTTCCCCTAGCTGAAATGTGGACTGTCCACGTTTCTTATTCTCATAAGCAATCGTGGCTTCTTGAGATTTCTTGATGTGTTCGATAATCTGCTGCAACAAGTTCTCGTACTGGACACCGAATTCAATGGTTCCAGGAGTTGCAGCAGTTCGGTTTTTAGGCAGGAGGAAGTCTAGAGCAGATTTGGGCTTCCATCCGAGATGCAGCTGATTTGGGGTGACCCCAGTGGTGCTGTGTACAACGTTATTGTACAGACTGGCGATGAAAGGTAACTTCTCATCCTAGTCATCTTGGCTGGGCTTGATGTAATGCCTCAGCAAATGCTGCACCACACGGTTCATCTGTTCAGCCTGCCCGTTTTTTTAGGGAGGTCTCAATTCAGTCCTGAGGCAATGGCACTTCTGCCCTTCGGACTGAACTTGAGTTTGGTACTTAAGACCGGACTCAAGCCCAGTACGGGCATTCAGTTTTTGGCCTCGGTGCTTGTGCTTCAGTGTGACTTGCTTCGACATTGTGTTCCGGGAATCAAAGACCGCGACTTTGCGACTTCGCCACTTCGTGTATGCATCCGTCGAGTCTTGTTGAGTATGCGTCGAGTTGAGTGAGTGTGTGTGTGTGCTCTCACCCTCTCCTCTCTCCCCCTCAGCCTCGCTACTCTGCCTCTGCCTCTGCCTCGTCACAACTTAGGTGGTATGGGTATGTCAAGCACGACCAATGCACGTCGCACGAAGGGAGCCGAATATTGTGAAACCTTGGTTGCAGTGGTGGTGTTCAGCGGACCGTCCGACGGCGGGTTTTGCCATGATGCCATCATATCGACGAGTTTAAGAGTGGTCGATACCAGAACGACGCTACAGTCTTCCCCCGAATACAACGTACGGTCATTATAGCTGTATCTAGACTGAAAGATACCTCAAATACAGCTATAATGACCGTGCGTTGTATTCGGGGGAAGACTGTAGCCGGAGCTGGGGTTTGGTTGCACTGTAACCTGAGTTATGTGGGGGTTAGAGGCCTGGTAGAGAGATCAGGGGAACTGTCAAGGGTGGAAAGCAGTCCAATGGCTAACCGCAAGCCGCTACTAAGACGATGCGGGTCGGAGATGGGGTGGGTCGCAACGCACTGTAACCCAACGGTTGGGGGCATGAGGCCTGGTAGAGCTGGGTATCTAGGATAGGTGGGTTGAGGCAGTTGTAGGCTGGCCGGTTGAATAGCACTAGGGTAACGTGGTTTTGATTATATCGGCTTCCAAACTGTCCTAATTGGTTCTAAATTTTCACAAACAATTTTGTTGTTCTCGGTTGCTTTTGGTGGTCTTGAGAATGCGTTAGGATTTTGGGTACCTCTTGCAACTCACTTTAGGCTTCTTTGATGCGGTTATATTCACGGATCTGCGGTTTTTCGATGATAGAACGACGTTGGTCAGTGTTAGGGAGTTGCCCTATAACCTGTTGATAGCAGGGGTATGTGGCCTGGTAGAGAGATTTGGGGATGCCTTGGGCGGGCATTCCAAGGGAAAACGAAGAGTTGCTGTCGGGACGACGCTCTTTGAAACTTGTAAATCAGAGTTTTGCTCTGATCCCAATGAATGAATACTCAATTTTGAATCACAAAGGGTTACAAATTGATTTTCTTAAAGTAGAATTGATGTCCTACGTTTAGCCATCTTTGATCTAATTCTAAATCTGACGTTGTTTTCATATTTGTGCACATAAGTTTGGGCTCTTGTTTTTTTAATTCAATTTTTTATGTCACTTTTTTGAAGGATTTCCAAAAACTGGTTACAATCGATTCTCACGATTTTATCTGTTTGAGGGATTTTCAAAAGTAAGTCATAATTGAGTCTCAGGCTGCGATACTGTAGGATTTGGGCTCATAGGTGCTGATTGAACTCGCTCCTTGAGCCTCGCCCTGCGAGGGTTGTGTAAGGTGAGAGGTGTGATCCTCGAGAGGGTAGGGGCGGTTTGTGGGTTTGTTCTCTTTTGGGCCAGGCTGATTTGGGTTGGATCGGCTAAGGCGGCTGGGAGAGAGGACAAAGGGTCGATGCTGATTTCAACAAGGTGAGAGGTTGCCAGGTGTTTCACTTGGAAGGGGTGAGACATGAGGGAAGGATGATCTTCGGCTCTGGGGGGGCATACTCTAGGAGGTATTGTATGCTGCTGAGGGAGCAAGAGGGATTTAGGGGGCTGCTCTGAACTGGGGCTGGAAGGTGAGGGGGCACCTTCCAGTGGAGGCAGTGAAAGGGTAGGAGGTCATTTTTTGAGGGGCCCAACACACACACACACACACACAAAGAGAGAGAGAGAGAGAGAGAGAGAGAGAGAGAGAGAGAGAGAGAGAGAGAGAGAGACAAGCCAAGAGAGGAGCGAGACAGAGTGAGTGTGTGTGTTTGTGTGTGTGTGAGAGAGAGAGAGAGAGCCGGCGCCCAAGTGTAGAAATCGGACTCCGAGCTTATCAGCAGCAGTTAAATGGGTGTACCATTCAACCACAGAGGCATGTACTCACCAATGAACTGTAGCTTTCCTTTTTCGGAAAGCAAGGAGGGTATACTTTTTTTGTGTTTTTGTTTTTCTTCAATTTTTTGGCCTTTCCCACCCTGACCTCAGCATTTCTCCCCAGCCACCCCCTACTTGCCCATCTTAAACCACATTATGTTTTTGTGTTTTTGTTTTTTGTCAATTTTACATCGCTCCGGCCTTGCAGTTAGAAACTTGTCGCCACAAACGGGAAAACGAGGCCGAAACGTAAAACACTGGGCCTGCCGTTGATAAATTGGATAGACAGTGGGGTTTTCGTTTCGCGCTTCCAGAATTCGAGGTGTCAGGCCCGCGGCCCAGGTGCCCATGTAGTGGTGCACCACCACCTTTCCCAGTCGACGACTTCGAGAATAGGAAATGTGCGGAGCCAGGCAAAAGGGGGGGGGGGGGAGGAATGCTGAGCTGGCGCGTTGGCAAGCCTTGATGTACAGGGGAAATCCATCTCGACAAATAGAGGCTTGGATGTAGTGGTGGTTTAAATTACCAGTTCATCAGAAGCTAAATTGACGAACCCGAAAAAAAAAAAAAAAAAAAAAAAAAAAAAAAATGACGAACCCAAACATCCATGTTGGTGAGTCTAAGAGTGACTGGGACGGGCGTCTGGAAAAATGAAGGTGGTTCCAGCACCGGCCTTTGTACAAATTTAAACCAGCGGTACCTACCGGGTTCTTTGCCCCCCCTCTGCGCGAATGAATAAAGACCTGCGCAGTAGACCGATTCATCCACCGCGTTAACACCTAAAAATGCGGTAGGTACTGGTGGTTTAAAGCCTGGACCCTCAGGCACCCGGTGGAATGAAAATCAGACCTTTCTCTGCGTTTCCGCTCTATTTCCCTTTCCCGCTTCTGCAGCAACACCTTTTCCCACCTCTACAGTACTACTGCCACTACTACCACTACTACTACGGCTACGACAACAAGAACAACAACCGCTGCTACTATTATGACTACCGTCTTCGCGCAAATAGAACCAAGGGTTTCGGCTGGGACGACACTGGTCGGAGCTGAGGCCAGTCGTGTCGCCCTGTAACCCAGCAGGGTGGGGGCGTGAGGCCTGGAAAAGCTTGACAGGGAGTACGACAGTGTTGGAACGTTTTAGAAGGGTTTGTTAGGGATTCTGAGGGTTGTGACCATTCGAAGGGCAGCTTATTGCATGAGTAGTTCCTTAATAGGTCAACAGATATTTATGATTCTTCCCAGGTCTTTTGAATCACATCGTGTTCTCAGGCTGTTCTCAGCCGAAGCCGGGTAATGGCCCCGGTATCTCAAAGGATCTCAAATGGACTGTACAATTCGATATGGGACACTGGGCCCGGTTCCCAGCACGTGCTGCTCCCCACGAATAGATTGGTGCACTAGTTTTTCAAAAAAAAAAAAAAAAAGAACGCCCGGTCCTTATGGCTGCATTTAGAGACTTTTAGACTGAAACGAGGAAAGTGCGAGCTCGTGTCCCGTGTCCACAATGCCCCACCTCTCTCTCCCTCTCTCTCCCTCTCTCTATCTCTCTGGCCAAGCTGCGGCTACCCTCCACTTGTATCACTGTAATTCTAATTGAGTTTGAAGTTTCCTGACACTTAAGAACGAGAGCCTTGCTCTGGATGGCTGATGTGCAGTGGTTATGGGTCTCCTCCTTTTTGTCTTGCAGTTGACTTCTGCTGTTGTGATTGGTCATCAGGCTAATGCCATGGTTGACGTTGTTGCCATGGTTGCATGGTGAGTGCTCTTTTTTTTTTCCCTTTTTTTTCCTTCTCTTTCTTTGATGAAAAAGTTAGGCCAGGGAGCTCATAATTCAACCCAGAAAGAAAGGGGGGCCATTGATGCATGGTATGCGGAGTTAGCGTTCTGTGGACCGGACTTCAGTCATCAGATCGTGAATATCAGACGTCAGGTGCTATCTGTGCCTCTTGCTGTAACACAAACCTTTTCAAAAGAAGGACACATCCATTGTCAAAAGTGCTCCTAGCCTCTTACTAAACCACCATTGAATAACTGCCGGGCCACGTGTAACACAGCCCTAAGGGTCCTGGATATTCTTTTTTCGTGTTTGTTTTTGTTGAGAGAGAGAGAGAGAGAGAGAGAGAGAGAGAGAGGCAGACAAACAGACATACAAACAGACCGAAAATGCGGGAGGAGAGGGGTTGGGGGCGGG